CCCCGCCGCGCCGCCGCCGCCCGCCCCGCAGCCCCGCAGCCCCGCACCGCGCCGCTCGGGCCCCGGCGACAGCCGCGGTGCAGTAAGTTGGCAGGAGAGCGTCCCCTCCGTCCTCGCCTCCCCCGCACCTTTTGAACTTGTTGCTGCTTGCTCGGCTTGCCTGCGCCTGGCTTTTGGAAGGTGAAAAGGAGGAGGGAAGCACGGAGGGATGGGGGAAGGGGAAAAAGAGCTCGCTTGAGCTTTATTTATGCTCCCTCAGCGCCTCGGATCCGGCTGCTCGCGAGCTGCCCTCTCTGCTTTCCCCTTTCCTGGTGCACAGCGAGGAGAAAGTCTCTATGCAACTCAGCCCCGGCGCGCACTTGGCCAGGTATGTACCACCGGCGAGGCGCGTTCTTCGCCGAGGCAGACGCTGCTGCCGCCGCCGCGGCGGCGGCTGCCAGCTCCCGGGCTCCGTAACTGTCACACTGCACCTGAGCTGAACTTGAAAAGAGAGTGAAGGGGCGATTGGGCGAACGCTTTTGGCAGACGCAAGGGGTGCTTGTAGACCAGGGGGAGGAGGATCTGTCTCAACGCCCCCCACCGTGCCGACCGAGCAGCACCTCCATCTCTGCAAATACGGCCCAAGGAGTCCAAGCGGCGACCAGACTCCCAAAGAAACGTGGGGCAGCGGCTGTGCCTGCACCTGGGAAGCTACAACAGGTCGCCTTTTTTGAGACTGCTTTGGCGGGAAGGGCTCCTTGGACAGGGAAGGTTTGAAAGAGCTGAAAGGGAAGGTGGAAGGGTTCACCACTAAGTGACTGCCCTTGGTTTTCTCTACCTTAAACGACGCATACTGACCCCACGGTATCCAGACTGTGTCGGGGAGAAACCAGAGACACCTGTTTGAAGAAATTGCTGCATCTAAAGTCACCTGTATACTTATTTGTACCAGGACTGGCCTGGTCCGACTGCTGGAAAAGGTTTGGTCAGGTTGTGTTGGTCGTGATTGTCAGGACATCGTATTTTCCAAATACCTGTCTTTGAGGGCAACTTGCCCTTCTGAGAACTGTGATTTCACCAGGATTCCCACCTTGGAATAAGAGTGACACCTCCGGACCACGTTTCTCTGTAGTGTTTGTTTGACGAGGGGAACTGGGTGATTGTGGCTACTCTGACCCATTAGGAGGCCTCATTGCCCTTGGTGCCTCCACTTCAAGAAGCCATGGCGGCGGGGGTAGCAGCATGGCTGCCGTTTGCAAGGGCAGCGGCCATCGGGTGGATGCCTGTGGCCTCGGGGCCCATGCCAGCTCCCCCAAGGCAGGAGAGAAAAAGGACTCAGGATGCTCTGATTGTGCTGAACGTGAGTGGCACCCGTTTCCAAACATGGCAGGACACCCTGGAACGATATCCAGACACACTGCTGGGCAGTTCCGAGAGGGACTTTTTCTACCATCCAGAGACTCAGCAGTATTTTTTTGACCGTGACCCCGACATCTTCCGCCATATCCTGAATTTCTACCGCACCGGGAAGCTCCACTACCCTCGCCATGAGTGCATCTCTGCTTATGATGAAGAGCTGGCCTTCTTCGGCCTCATCCCAGAAATTATTGGCGACTGCTGTTATGAGGAGTACAAGGATCGCAGGCGAGAGAATGCGGAGCGTCTCCAGGATGATGCTGACACCGACAACACTGGGGAGAGCGCGCTGCCCACCATGACTGCCCGGCAGAAGGTCTGGCGGGCCTTTGAGAACCCCCACACCAGCACCATGGCCTTGGTGTTCTACTATGTCACCGGGTTCTTCATTGCCGTCTCCGTCATCGCTAATGTGGTGGAAACCGTGCCATGTGGGTCTAGCCCAGGCCACATCAAGGAGCTGCCCTGTGGGGAGCGGTATGCAGTGGCCTTCTTCTGCCTGGACACGGCCTGCGTCATGATCTTCACAGTTGAGTACTTGCTTCGCCTGGCTGCGGCACCAAGTCGTTACCGTTTTGTGCGCAGTGTCATGAGCATCATCGATGTGGTGGCCATCCTGCCTTATTACATTGGGCTAGTGATGACAGACAATGAGGATGTCAGCGGAGCCTTTGTCACCCTCCGCGTCTTCCGGGTCTTCCGGATCTTTAAGTTTTCCCGCCACTCGCAAGGCCTGCGCATCCTGGGGTACACGCTGAAGAGTTGCGCCTCAGAGCTGGGCTTCTTGCTCTTTTCGCTTACCATGGCTATCATCATTTTCGCTACAGTTATGTTCTACGCAGAGAAGGGGTCTTCGGCCAGCAAGTTCACCAGCATCCCTGCTGCCTTCTGGTATACCATCGTCACCATGACAACACTAGGGTAGGTGCCATCAAGGGAAATGGGATGGAGGTTGGATACGTGTGAGGTGACTATGGACCCATTAAAGTTATGAAATAAATTAGAGGAACTATTGTTTTCCCCTTTCCTAAATGGGTTTAAGAAAGCATTACGGTTTTGCAGAACTCTTTTGATCTAAATGGGCATGACATAGAGATTGAAGTACTTAGGGAGTTGCTTGCTGGCAGATGTTGACTATTGATGCCTGAAAGGGATAAATACAACAAAGACATTTTAGAATTCCTGAATATAGGGAAAGATTATTAATATTATATGTACAAATACATAAAAAATAATGAAATTGAAAAACAAAATTTGTGCCCCAATAAAGTTATGAATATGCACAATATATATTGAAGTGCCTGGAGAGTGTGTCAGTGTATTCAAATGAAAGTTTCCATGTATATTTGAAGTATTATTTTCATATGAATACATACTTTTGGCATACATTTTCCCTCTAAGAACCATAGTTATTTTACATTTTAAAATATAGATTATACATATCATTATCGAAGGATTTGGTAATCTATATGTGCATATTCATATATATGCACTTTTATTATGGCTGCTAAGTTATTCAGTTTTTGAATGTCAGGGCTGAAACTGATCAACTCTACAAAATGCAATGGAATGGTATTTGAAACATATTCAAGACTCTTAAGTTCATAATTTCAAGTAAAAAGAAGCAAATGACTGTCATCCACACATTTTTTTAGAAACTACAGATCCCATCAGCCAGTGGGTCCAGGACCATTAAACACATGAAGAATATAGAGCGGTGTCTGGTGAGATTGATGGTCACCAAGGGCTGGTTGCATTGTAGAATATTGTGCATTCTGATTTTCTCCTAGCATTCTTTTGTGCATTCTTTAATTTGGGGATAATGGTGTTTTGCAAGCAAAGGGGCATATTCCGAATGAATGTTTTTTTAAAACAAATGTTCAGCAAGAATTAAGATTTTTCTTAGATTGTAGAAAAATGGAGAGGTATTAAATGATTAATAATGTTAATCAAACTGCAGAAAAGTAGCAGCATTTACATATTAGAGAATCTAATAAAATAAGATGGTTAGAGCCTTTTACTTTTATGAGTCCTGAGACAAGCCAAGTAGTAATAGTGCCCTTTCTTTAGCTTTATGCTGCTTTTCTTGCATAGTTAATCAGTTCAGTAGGGATTTGGTAATGGCTATGAGAAAAAAGTTATCCCCAAGGCTGCTTTTTAAGTTTTGTGTTTCTGTCTAATTTAATTGCCTTCTTTAAATGACAATGTGTTTAAAATCAACCTAATTTTATTAGACATCTTGTGTTGAACAGATTCTCTCCTGTTGTCATATGGCCAACTAATGGAATATTTTATATGTGAAGAATTTTTGGCTAAGTTAAGTAAGAAATTATGGTAAAGTAAAATACAAAAACTTACGGTTTTGATTTAGTCTCACATATTTTTTGAAGACCTACTGGTACAATTTCCAAAATGAATCAGTGAAAATTCATAGTCTACTGCTTAGATGTCTCTTTTATCCTGTTGGTTATTTTGTGATAATTTTAGAGAAAGATTCAAAACACCTTATCAGTGTAGATGTTTACTTCTTATCAAAGAAGAATATATATATTGGTCTTGTTGTCTTTTTGGCATTTGAAATCTTTATTAAGGGTAATTGGATGGTACAAATTAGTATAGGACATCAAATTAGAAATACATATGTAGAAAAAAGAGGACTTTGTGTTAAGAGGCAATAAAGTAATAAATATCAAAAGGAAATATATTTTTAAAAATTTGGTGACAATGGCAATGTTTTTCATAAAATATCAGTGAATCCTTTTAATACTATATACTGTCTATATGATTGAATATAGGTATTATTATAATAAATGTTAATGAGATTCTAATTTCATCTAGCTAGATGTTCTCTTCTAGACATAAGAAGTTAGTATTATTTTAAAATTTGTTTCCTGGAGTGACTTTCAAATTTTTATTTTATTTTGAAAGTTATTTTTGTGTATAAGGGAAAAAATGAGGAAATGTTAAGCATTAATAACTTTTTTATTATATAAATAAAATGCTAATAAGCATCTACTTTTTGAAATGATGTAAGAAATTGAATCATGGTGCCTAAGTAAAATCTATGAAATGGATTTAGTTCCCATGTTCTGTATGTAAGTGGATTAGAAAAATTAAATATACACTTTCTTGGAACTTGGAAGCAAAATGGGAGTAACTTTTAAGACTTAAGATTCACTGAAGTTGAAAAGTTTAATTTTCAGGAATTAAGCTAGTTAATGAGCCTGATGGAATATAGCAGTCATACTTTTAAGATATAGAAATGTTGATACAATCAAAATACAACCCATTTTTTTTGGAAAAAAATGTGAACATTTAACAAAGCATATGCTTTATAATATAGCATAGTTTCTTAGGAAAATGTCTTCAGTTTCTCATCAAAATATAATTAAATGAATTTATTTTCCTGGAGAAATAGATTTTTTTTTTAAATCCTGCCTTTTCAGTGTCTTATCTTTGGTTGCATTGTGACTCAACAGCTTTAGTTAAGAATAGAAAATGTTCAACAAAAGCCATTGCCTGAATTTATTTTTGACTCAGTAGTTTTATACTTATAAACTGAAGTGTAAGGTATAAACTTTCTGTAAAATATGCAGTAGTTAAATTAAAGCTAATAGCAAGCTGTGTCTGATAGATGACCAAGAATTCCTATTACACTTTCTGAGCTCTTTTTACATGGCTATTATTTTTAATGGAGTTAATGTTCATCAATTGATGATAATAGGAGTGAAAATGGAATCCTAAATCGTGGTTATC